ACCCGCTGCTGGACAGTGAGATCCATGACCCACCGGTGGTCAGGGACACCTCCACCATTGTCTGCTTCCTCCAAGGATTGAGTGGTGACTGGTATTCTTTTGTATGTTTTCTGAGGCTAGATTATGATTTTTATGTTGATACAGCAAACCAAGTATTAAGATTTGACCCAATCCGCAGAGGGTCCAGGTGATTAGAAACCATAAGCTAAGCTATAAAATTCTGTATTATGCTACTTAGAAAACTGTACTACACTGATTCTGCTTATAGAAATCCTGTGCTATTCTGATTAAAAATTCTATGCTATGCTAATCATACATTCCTGTTAAGAAAATAAAGCTTTAATTGTAACTACAAATTAGTGCTGTCATCATTCTGCAAAGGATCCCTAAAAGAACCTGTCTGTCCCCTCAGTGTTGGGTGACAGTAGGATATTTTCTGTGTGCTGAAGCCTTTATCTGCATTCTTGTCTCCTTAAGGGGCAAAGAACAGGCAAATAATTTAAATGAGTTAAACCTGGGCTGTTAAGGTACTACTCTCTGGTAAGCATTCAGTTTTCCAAGACACTGACATTTAACTGTGATACAGCCATCTCTCTGATAGTCTGTGCTATCGGTTCTGTCTTTCTCTAATACAGCAGCCCCACCACTACACTAAGGAATAATGTCCCTCATGCCAAAGCACCTTAACATGGCTATTCTGAGCACTGGGAAGTTTCCCAACTCCCTCCCACTTCGCATTGCTCCTGACTTTCATCAAATAAACCACCTACATAGCCATGCAGGCTATTAACTTCTAACTAACCTTCCCAGACTGAAGGGATCACTTCCAAGTGGTTGGCTGCATCCAGTGCTTGAAGGAGGTCCAATATATTTTTAGGAGTTGGATAGAAGAGCTGAGGAAAGAAGAGAATCATTTCAGTAAACTGTAACTGTTCTGTTTCTCCATACTAAAGCTTTGAAGGTTGCTTACCCTAATACACACTTACCGAAGGGGACATTTCTTTGTACCATTTCAACACAACATCGATTTGTTCCATCATACACAGCAATGAAAAGAATTTTGACCTGCAGGAGGGGAAAAATGTTCAAATTCAGTAGTGATTAGATCAACCAAACCATACAGAAGCACCAGCAAATGATGGTGTTCTGATCAGATTTGTATTGCAGATCAGGGACATTTCCCTGTATGATTGCAATATTCCGCACAATTAAAAAAACAGTAGTGTTTTTTGTGAGAGAACTTAATGCTGACACTAGGCAATTGGCAGAATTACTAAGAAATGGACCACTGAATTTTAAAATCTCAAAAAAATGCAATCTCCCTGCCTGACACCAGGTTTGAGATCTCTGAATCTCTCTCAAATGCAACCTCTAGTTAAGAACCACTTTAAGAAGTGAACTAAATTAACCTGGGTACTTGTGCAAGTTTGTAATGCAAACCTGGGACCTTGATCCAATGCACTAAATAGGAGAAATGTCTCTACACCAAGAAATTAATTTCCATTAAAATGGAAATTAATGGAAATTAATTTCCCTTGATTTATTTACAGGCTAAATAAGGTAAAAGCATATGAATCAGCCCACCCCTGAAACTGCATCTTATTTTGACGATGATTATTTTTCATTAATTTACTGGAGCAGCTCTAGTTCCAATGCCTAAATAGGCTTTTCTTCAAATCAGTATGCTCCAAGTACTTAATTACATTCAGCACTTAATGACATTGGTAAAAATGTCTCAGGTGCCATGATTACAGTGTCAAATGGTGGAACTAGACAGGAGTTTGGTGCCTAAATACACCTGCTGCACTGCAACCTCTCTCTACAACACCATGCCGAGAGCTAGGTCTGACCTCTACGCTATTTTGGTGTCACCTCCTAAGCTGCCATCCCAAGTGGATGACAGGACTGTAGAAAATAAAACTGGTTGGTACAGTTGTTGGATGGGGATTAAGCTAAACTGATGCTCCAAGACACTTTATTTCAGTTCAGGCAAGGCCACAAACAGAAAATAAATCCTAAGCTATCACTGTTCTTAAGAGGGACTTAATTCCCAAATTGCACATACAATAGCGAGCTGATGTTCAACAAAGCATCCTTCTGCGGAATGTTCGAATCCTGGTTTGTATTCAAATTGACAACAATACACAAGGCGCTGAACGTAAGCTGTGCTTTACTCACCAGTAGGCATTTAACCGATCCATGTCCAAGAATTTCCAGTTGTCTCCCTTCTCCATTGCCTTATTTAACCGATAGGCAAGCTTGATATCCTTAAGATCACAGCACTGCAATAAACGAGTTAAGATTTTAAAGCTACCAAACGTAACACTTAATACATCTCTCTGAGACTCACTTTCACAAAGGTATGAAGAGTAATGAGCTGACAGCAAACATTTTTAATAGGATGCAGTGGCTACCAAGGCATTTTGTTTAGCTGAGATGAATGTGTGACTCTGCCAGTGGGCAAGAGCTTTCTAACCTAAACTGACACCACCTGGTGCAGAGACTGAATGACCACTGCAGTGTCACTAGGAGGAGGAGGTAGGGCACAAAGACAGGGGCTTACGCAGAGATGCACATTATCACAGGCATGCAAGTTACCAATTTAGGAGGTATCAAGCAAAGAACTGCAGAATTATGGAGGAAAGTTACAGGAGGTGATGAACACAGGTGAAAAAGGGAAAGATATTGAGAGCTAGCCCTTGTATGACAGGTTGGAAAACTCACAGGCAATTCTGAAACAGCTGGAGGGCTCAAAGGAATTCTCACTGCAGGGAAGAGGTACTTACCGCTTGCATCGCTGTGGCAAAAAACTTGGCTGAAAGGGAGAAAATGGAGTGTTAGTCAAACTTTCAAGATGACACACAGCAGCTCATTAACTCAACCTCCCAGAGGACAAACTAGACATGTTCGATTAGAAAGCTGAATTTGTAGCTCAGTTTGACAATGTAGCAGGGATCTTCACTTTATATGTAGAGACTTTGGTGTGTTACGAGTTTTGCTAGCCAGTGTTCTGAAGGCAACTATACTGCTGTGCTTTTGGAGACAGATTTAAGCAGATGATCTGTTTGACTTTAGGCAGTTTTACAAAAGCTACATTCTCTTGTTTGTTGCAAGACAGCATTATTTGTCTAACAGGCAGGCTACAAAAAAAGGCAGCCACATCACTCATCTTCTCTATTTACTCCAGCGGAAGAGAACACATGCCACAGAGACAGGTGTTCAGGCAGGTTACCCACCTCTTTAGTACACCCCAGAGCTGCCCAAAACCATAAAATTGCCCCCTGAAAATGCCTCCTTCCAGTTTTGTGAGGCTTTGACTCTGCTTTCTGTAACTGACATTTCAAAGCAGCACGGAGACTGATGCTGCCTGAGGGAGGCAAAGCAAGCCACAGTGGGAGGAAGGACCTAAACTATCCTCCTCAGTAGCTCATTTCATTTTTGTGGTGAGAATTTTGGATAGGTGTTTTTGGTTTTTTGAAGGACACATAAGGGCACTGGATGCTATCAGAGACTGAAACAGTGACTAGCTGTGGGTAGCAAAATGGTGGAAAGAGCTGTAAGGCAATTTACTTACAACCATTAGGTACAATACACCCCCCTTTCCCTTGCAAGACTTAATAAATTAACTAAATACTTTTAAGTCAGAAAAGACAGTTTTGTGTTATTTGGGTATTTAGTATACACTTCAGCCACAGCCTACAGAATCCTCTGGGCCACAGAAAGGCCTTGCAGGGAACGCAGAGGCTTCCAAAGGTAAGAAGGAAGGAAACACTCTAAGGAAAAACAAGCCTCAGTTTTGTTCAAAGTGTCAACCTGAATTCTGCAATAGCAATTACCAAAAGAGCATAAGAGGGATCCCATGTTGAAGAATAACAGAAAATGTTTACATACACATCTTGCTTAGACGAAGTGGCTTTGATCTAGTCTTACATGAGCAGTCTCTCCCTCTCTCTCTCACCTGCTGTGTAGAAAAGCTCATTCAACTCCCATGATTCAGGCAAGGTCTGTATCTGCGTGCCCATAATCCCTGCCTTTGCTAACAGTGGTATTTCTATAGAGTGTAACAGAACAGAGTGGGTATAGTCATTGCCTACACTTCTGGCAACAGCTTAGAGCCAGAGCAAGAAACAGTATAATGCACACAGCAGGACAGCAGCAAACAAAAGAGGTGTACAACATTCTGACTATTTCCAGGCTTCTTTCCAAGGGAAAAAAAAAAAAAAAATGCTGGTAGGATAACCTAATATGCTACTCCAACATAACATCTCCTAATCTTTGTCCTTTAAATGGCCAAAAACGATATCAACTCCTCACTGGTTTCCTGAAGCATGCACTGCAATAGCTTCTTCACCCTATCATATATAGAACTGTCAGCTGCTGAAGAGTGGCTTCAAACACTTTGTTAACATCGCGTTGTACACAGCACAGCTACAGACCCCTCTTTGCCACACTCATCTTCAGATTGAAGCTGCATCTACTTCCAAACATACAGAAAGGCTTATGAACATCCTAGGGCAAAGTTGTGTACATACAGAGGGCAGAAAGAGCCAGTGAGACACACGATATTCAGAATCTATCCCTTCTACAGACCCAAGCTTCAGTTTTGCATCAAGTTTTATTTCATGCAATTTTCTGAAAAGGATTAGGAAGAACTAGAATAGGAACTCAATCCATACTACAACAAAAACATGCTGTTCACCAGACGTGTGTCATTTCATGAAGCTGCTAGCAGATGTTCCTCCTTAAACTAGTCTTGTAAACAGCCTTGTGGTTTTTATGGCGTGGGACTCAAACGTTCATTCTCATGGGGTATGCTCCTACTTCCACACAGAAGCCTGTGCACCAATGCATAGCATGTCTTCCTGGCACTAGAATTTGTCCTTGTCTCCAAAAAGTATCAGAAGGGACTGATACAAGCAAGCTGCATGCATTCTTTCTAGCTGGGTAGAACTACTTGAAATTCCCTAGGTACCTTTTCACCCAAGCTTAAACAATGCAGATTGTCAGATATATTGAAGTCCATACCGTCATCAGGGTCCTGGGGAGTGAAGCTCCTCTTTTCAACATCATCTAGCACCTCAGAGATGATGCCTGATGGGCAAAGATCAACTACAGGACAAACAGACAAGTAACATCACATCTCAGTTGTACTACGCACTTCATTAGTAAAAAGTCTCAGCCTGCAAATATACTGTGGAAATGGAAACAAGCACCATGATTTCAAACAAGTGTCATGATTCTCCCATCCGTACCCCTACTCGGGGGCTCCACACCAGCTGGAATTTTATTTGCACTAAAATTTGCCCTACTATTGCCAGATTTCCACAGCACAACACGGCACGTTAAAAAGACACAAGTACTTTCTAGCAAGGAATCCAACAGGCCTGCAAGATTGTATGTTGCACTGGGAAAAACATTGCATTTCATAAACAACAAAAAAAAAAACCACCAGAGAGACTCCAGAGCAGTTCCTCCACATTTGGACTGCAGTTATGACTACTGTGTCTGTTCTTTTCCCATGCCCACAGATTTTTGGCTAAAGGATGTCTAACAGTTGGGCTCCTGCCTTCTAACACAGCTGTATTTCAAGATAGCTCTAATGCACAGAACTGCTGCAGAAAAACAGAATCCCTGTGCAATTTCTTTCCTGTGAGTGGCACAATCTATGAAATCACATGGATAGTCAGATCCAGACTCCACAGACTTAGCTTTATCGACTTGTGGCCACAAATGGAAAGGAAATGGGCTTTCTTTCCAGTTCTGCCCGTTCTCAAAACATAAGGATTCTTCCCTCCCTGTGAGAAGTTATGATCCTCTGTAGCTTTTTATTCACCCGAGTAGAATCAGACTGCACAGGTAACATTAGGATCGCACACATAAGTTGTCTTTTAATCCATAAATCAACTGCCTTCACCCATCACATTTGGAAAGCATTTAAAGCAGGTGTTAAACAGGACACATTCATGGACAAGTTGATATTGCACATACCGTCTCTATAAAATATAAAGAGAAGATGATCATACGTTGCAAGGCTAGGCTCTGAAAAGCAAAAACACTGAAGTTACTTCGACATTCTTGGCTGAGCTTTACGCCCAAGCTCTAATTCACAGTCTCCAGCCCTTCCAGTCAGCATAAATTTATCATTTCTCTCCCTGTCCACCCAAACGCTGGACCAGACCTCACGTACAACTGGGAGAGATGATATCTGAGAGTGGACCACCAGCTGAAGCAGCATATTGCTATGGGGCAAACAGCCAAGCTTCCCTGCTCTAAATTAAAAGCAAAAATATTTAATAACTGCTCATGAACCTATCTTTGGTGTATCAGCAAGCATGTTATTAGGGCAAAGCACACTCTACAAGACATCAAATCAGCTATACCAACATTCCCTGTTTTTGCAATGTTTACTTGACATCAAAAACCATCATCTGTATCAAAAGCTTTTTTCCTGTTGCGATGTAGATATACAGACCTGAACTGGCTTGGGTGGCTTTTGAAGTAAATCTCTTTGATCTATGGGAAGCTAACAGACTCAGCTGACTGATACATATATTCATATTATTCACTATTTCTACAGCAATACTACAATAAGGACCCAGTTGAGAAAGAGCCCATGCGCCAGGATACACTCCCCCACTGCATACACAGTGTAGCTAGAGGTAACTACAGGTAGAAATGTAATGATAAAGATGCTTCTAACCTAAAAGACTACAGCATCAAAATGCTTCATTATTTGATCTAAAGGGCTAAGTGCACCCACTATACTGTAATTAGTAATCAACACTGAACAAAGACTCTGAAGATGATGGTTCAATTTGAAATCCACAGGTACTGCTTGCTGAGTGACCACAGCTCAGTACTTACGCATTTTTATTTCTCAGTTCTCTTGCAAAAGGAAACAAAATGCTGAAGTTGAGAACACAGTGAGAAATGCTTTTTTCCACAAGCCTTGGACTTCTTCCCTGCAACTAGGAATCACTGTGTTGTTTGCTGCTGAACTCTTAAGTTAGCTATTCTGGAGGTGGCATTGGAATATAACCCCCATTCTGGCTCTCTTACCTATATCAAGTGCTTCCATTTCCTTTATTACCAATAAAGACATACTTCTGCCTATACCACCACATCTTCTCAGAGTCTTCAGTAAAGCATTGAAAGTTAGCAGATTCGGTTGCACTTCCTGTTGAGCCATGTGATTCAGGAAGACCTTAAACAAAATCCCCAAATCCTTAGTGCTTCACACGTTCAGCTTTCAGGTAGGTATACATGCATTTCCTCAATCTAATCCTTCTCACCCCCTTCAAGTGAACGACTCTACCTCAACTGATCACTTATTAAGGGTGTACCATCTAATTTTTAATTAATTTGACCAAAAAACAAGACTACAAAATTACATCAGATTAGATCTTGGAGAATTGTGTCTAGAACATCAAGGAAATTTTTACATTTACATCCTAGTTTTCCTTACTGATGTTACGTCATTAAAACTGGAGCCTCTAATGTTACCCCTCAAAATCCCATTTCTATCACACCACCATGAATCACAATTCAAAGAAGAGTTTTTATCTAAACTTGGTTGTTTGTTTTTATCTCCCAGCATAATCTCCCAATTACTTTCTGTCTGGGCAGTTCTTGGATCAAGTATGTTCTCACAAGGCAAACCATTCTGCAAGGGCAAGGTTGGATTTTGAACATTTTCCACTCCTCAGTAGTTAGTTTGTATGTTTAAACTAGTGTACTTCCTTTGCAGCAGATACTAGTATCTTCGTACAAAGCTCGTTTTTAGTCTTCTAACAACTGCAAAATTCTACTGATAAAGGAGATGCCACCCCTACACTCTTACCCCTTCCCCACCTCTATTGCTCTACCTCCTTACCTTGGCTAATTCCCATCTTTCTACGGACCTCTCCTTTAGATATGGGACTGCTGTAATCAGTGCGTTGAAGGTGTGCACATCAGCTGGAAAATGTAAGATAATTAATTTTAACTGACAATTACATTCTACAGAAAACAGTTTGTGCTAACATGGCTCAGTTTTTGGCGAAGTCTCATGCAAACCTGTTTCCAGTGAGCCGGCCACATGCCAGCTGCACTGAAATAAACAGTTTGCATTCAGCTCCCATGATCTAGCTGAGGTCCGTACCCCTGCGCCAATCATCACTGCCATGAAACAAATATTCATGTACCCAACAAACTGGTAGCTGCTACTTAGAAGACCGCAAGTCAAAACCAGGAGACACTTACCCTTGTGTCTTTCATTCAGCAAGTCTAGGTACATGTCATAAGCTTTAGCAGAAGCCCCATGCTGAAAAAAAACAAAAAACCAACAAAAATAAACAATCTCTATGACTGTGTGAGATTTCACAAGCTGAAAAACGTCCCCCCAGCACTGAAGGACAACTTTACCTTCACCATCCCACGGATCATTGTGCAATAGGAATGTGCATTCCTCTCTGGCATTATCTTAAATATCCTTTCAGCATTGTTGTTCTCCCTAGAATCAATGAACAAGCTGAATGTTAAAGAACTCAATAAAAGGTATCTTTAGGAAAAGGATTCAACATGCAGAACAAAATAATGGGCTGTACTCCCAAAGGCTGACATTCAAATATATTACTTGCCACACTTTGAGCTATTCTACAATCACTTACTAGACTTCCATAAACACTTTAAAAGATTAGCACACACAGATGTATTTAACAAGTAACATCTGCAAGTATGGGCTGCTAAAAAGTCTTTAAGTCTGTTTTCTAACAACAATGCATGTGCACAACCCGAACACAGGAATATTGGCAACATTTTCTATACCTCCATCTAGAGCCAGAACCTCTTTGGAATTGTCTCTTTGGAGCCTTCTGCTCCGAAGCGTTCACCTGGAGAGATTTTTGCAGAAAGAAGTTTCTCAGAGTTCAGAGTTATGATTAAACATCAAATGACGTGATTTGGTAACAACACAGAAGTTCAGCAGCATATGCTACCAAAGGTGTTTTTTAATGGGTTACATTAAAATAATTTCTATTTTTATGTTCAGGAAGTAATAACTAGATTAAGAATACTGTTCATGTTATTAAACATACTAACAAGGCAAATTATATGTATTTGTGGAGTTGGTGGGAATCATTAGAATATAGCACATACTCTGTAAAACCCTTTCGCTCTCGACAGTCTTCCCAGGGATAGGTATTGTGCAACACATCTACTACTGTACCCTGCGACCTGATACTCTGAGGTCACACAAGGAACCCTCAACTTCCTTGAAATCTAGTTATTATGGTTCAGACTGGAAGAAAATTAACTAGCCAATTTTACACTAGAGGTACTAGAGTTCTTCTGTGCAGGCAACTATAAAAACAAGGCTGTCAGTAAGAAACAGTTATTTAAATGCAGTTCAGCAGAACTAAGCCAAGACAGGGTTCCAGCTGCTAAGTTCAGCTTTACAGAAACTACTTTTGCTAACAGGTTAGACACAGGATTGTTGTAACTGCTGTATCTCTAGGGAATGTTGACTGCATCTGACCCACCTCACACCATCTCCCAGGCAGGTAGTCATAGTACAAAAATCTTGACATCACCTTGATGCTACTTGATACTTTCCCACTACGTATGAAAGAAATAAATAAATAGAGATCAACAGGGTTTTTATACCCCTGGTTCTTCCAAATCCTGTTTTTCTTCTTCCTCTTTTTCCAGAGTAGATTCTCCATCTCCATAGAAGCATAACAAATCTAAAAGGCTGTTTGTGGTCTCCAGAGATACAGGGGTACCTATGGAAAATGAGGATGTACAACAGTAGCAGAGAAAGTAAAGAACACACCATTCTACAGCCGTAACAGAAAACTTCCGAACACCCAGTTACGCCCAGTTCTCTTTCGACATAAAGGTGTTCTCTAGCAAGTCTGTAAAACCTAATGCCAATACTTCCACGAACCCATTCATAGCAGAGACAATTTTAACACTGAACTAGAGTATCTGTTTTTCTGTTGAAGCCACTGGAAGGGTAGTTTTCCTGATGAAGTGGGAGAGGGCTGGCAGCCAAAACTGTGAAGCAGCACAAGCCCAACACAACATCTGAAACTTCTATGCTTTTCAACTCCTAGGATAAACCCTGCTGTGAAGATGACTTTGTGTGTTTCACTTTCTATGAAACAGTTCAAAACCAACAAAAGAAAAGAGCTATTTGATGGAATCATCACCTTTCCATCTTCTAGCGGATATGAGAAGGTCTTACCTTCCCAGTAAGTTTTCCTCCTTCAGATCCTGTGGCAGTTACAGTTTTCTATTGCTTCCTCCGACTCACCCATGACAGAGATAAGGTCCAAATTAAGGAGGAACTGAGAAAGACTCATTTATTGAGGGCAGGTCCACAGATGGTATGCTATACCAGTCCAACACAGCAGCAAAGCACTCAGCACAGATGTAGCTTATACCAACCAATATGTTACTGCATGAGGGCCTTTGTGGGCAGAATGGTATCGCTCAATCACATAGCATCTGCCTGTAACAGGCCCTGCTCTACTGCATCACAAATTGTTGCACTTTGGAAGAGAAGGAAAAAAAACTCAACACTGTATAATCTGCTTCTTGATCAGGAAACCGTCTGTTCTCTGTATCACCAAAGTGACGTGTCAGACAAGCAGTGGATAACAAGGGCCCAATAATTCTGGAGAACCACTTCACCAGACCAGAGCCAGTTGTGAAAGGCAGCAACATAGTCCTGAAATTGTCTTCATAGCCTGCGCCAGCTACTAAAATATTTTTGCCAGTTTAAGTAGAGCTCCACCACAGAATGGTGGAGCAGGTGACCACATACCTGCTTGCACGAGCTGATCGAACAGGTCCACAGAATCCTTGACCCTTCTGAGGTGGATACGCTCTTTTAGAGCTTCCTCACTCACTCCTTCAATCTGAGGTGTAAGAGTCTCAGGCATCAAGCACTAAAAGCAAAGAGTGCAAGTTAGACATGAGCTCAAACCTTCTCTAAGCCATTGCTAAAACACTAACCAAATATGCTCACTCTTCACCCAATACACTGCTTTGATAATCTCCCAACCCTCACAGCCTAACAGCAGTAGTCCTTCTGGTGATGAAGGACCACACATCCTGATCTCCCACTTTCATGCTAGGAGGTCAACATCTAAACAATATTTCTTTTCTTACTTTTATCTAAAGAACCTGATATGATATCGAATTCCCAAGGAAAAATGTTCATTTCAGAAACATAATGGAAATACAGCACTGCTTTCACAGATGTCTACAAAACAATTAACAAAATTATCCTTTTATATTAGTTTTGGACCAGGCTGACAGTTGATTTCACCACCTGACAAGGCACAAATACAATGAAAATGAAAAGCAAAATGCTTACTGGTACATTGGGCTCTGCAAAAGTCTTGTCAAAATATTGAGGAAATTGCTTAATAATATATTTTGCAGCATTTCTCCCAGACTCCTTCGACAATGAAAATAGACGCTGCATAGGAATAAGAGAACAAGATGAAGAAACATGCAATTAAAAGGCTGAAAGTGAGAAAAACATTTTCTGTAACACTGAGCATTCTGATGGAATCAAATTAAACTCATGCTTCCTTTTCAACTCTTAATAAAAGCACAGGCACGAGACAACATTCCAGATAAACATTCTGGTATTTATGCCAACATAAGAATGTCTATTCTTTAAATGAGACTGTAATTTACTTTTCTGTTACTTAGTCAAGGGACAAAGTTCTGTACCAGACATCTGAAATGCTGCATTACTACTTCAAGCTCAAAAGCATCTCTCTTTTCAGAGTTACAGCACTCAGACATTTCTCTCCCTGTCATTTCCAAGAGCATCACCTGATTACCATTCACCTCTTTTCCTCAAGTTCTGAAATCAGACCTTCCTTTGCTGTTTCCTTTAAAACTCCTCACATTCAACAGCTGCCTTCAGCCTTCTCAATGGCTTCACCTCTGGTACGCAGAACTGAAGTTTTCTTGTAACCGTATCACTGATCTGCCACGACAGCTCAGCTCCCAGTCTTCTCTCACTATGCTCTAATTAACATCACACACAGCAGTTCCTCATTTCCAGTTCTGCTTTCTCCTGCCTCAGCTTCATGCTCTTTAATCTCATGCAGAGATAACATCAGGGGAAGACTCCTTTCCTTCTTCCTTTCTATTATCACCTCAATACTACTATTTCCATAAGCCTAAGTTACCAAATAGCTGCTCTGTGATATAACTAAAATTCCTGGCTTGGCCAGGACAGTTAACTGATAACATGTAGTCTGTGTAGTAACACACACACGTGTGACCTTGGGTGTTTTAGTTCATACATTTAATTCAAATTTAACTAAACTGTAAGCACAAAATCTCAACACTTGCAATACCACATATTCACAGTCTATACCCAAGCTATATAAACACAGTTTTAACAGGCTGAATGCCCCACATAAAGAATTACTGTTGGGAGTTATCTAACAGACTAAAAACGTGGAGAAACAGAAAAACTCAGCAGGTAAGCCACTAACTTGCAGGAATGTTAACAGAGCTGTGTCAGCTGAAAAGCCCCTATGGGGCAGGAATAAGAGGTAACTTTGTGTGTGCAGAGTGGATTTGTCCAGAGAAATGTTACAGTCATTATGCATTCAAAAATACACAGAGGAGAAAATTCTCAAAGAAGTCCGATACTTCAATTTTCTTCTGTAATTGAAATTAGGCCCCAATTAGATAGAGTTTTCATAGCATAGACGAAGCGGGGGAGAAGGGAAGCTATCAAGGATTTGAAAGGAAATACTTACAGAATGGGCTGCATTTCTTGGCATAAGGAAAGGGTCATCCTGGAACATATAATGAGCAGCAGTAGGATCCTGTAGAAAGCAGAACCCAGGATTGAAACGTTTATAGTTATGTACACAGGCGTGCTGTAGGCACATCACACCGCCTCATGGAATTTAAGGGACAATAACAGTTCTGTCATAACCATCTGATGCCCATTTCACAAAAGCTCCTCTTGTTCAAAAGGTTTAGCCTGTTTGGAAATATTTAAAAAAGCTTCTCCATTATACACACACATGCAGGCTAACATAGTGACAACAAAAGGGTCCTTACTGTAACATGACAAGCAATGAATGCCTGGCAAAGCAAGCAGGACCCCAACTATAGCAGTCTCAGGGGAGCTGAGGGGACTCGCAGGATCAGATTCCATTTCCAGAACTCAAGACAGACAGGATTAAAGAATAGCATCACAACATTTACATTTGTTGTCTAGCAAGAGTAGACACTGATTGCTCTTTGCAAGGCTTACTTCCTGGACTGAGATTGGGAAGAGGCAGTCTGGATTGGGAAGCTGAACTGGTAAAGGAACTTGCTCCTGATGTTAGCAAAAGCCTTATGAAAATTTCACAGCTTTCACTGGCAGCTGCAGCTCTCTCTTAGCCGTAGAATGAGGCTTTAAGGACACAGCAAAACATGTTGAGCAAAAGTGAAAACCCCATAAAAAAGGGATGTAAAAGTCCCATCTCTCATTTATGACCAAAGCAGAAGTAAGAGCCTCCAGAGTGCAAGGTTAATGCATGAGATGGACAACTCAACCTATTTCCATGATCAACAGAACTACTTACCCTGTTCACGGTAGAAGCCAACGTTTGAAGAACCGCTAGCTTATCCCTAAACAGAAAGGAGCTTTGATTAATACCCGGTTGCAGACTTTGAATGTTATGCATTACATTATATGCAGAACAAGCACAGGATTATCCTGGCCCATATGGATTTTCAGTTCTAGGAAATAATGGGTTGGCTGCACTTAGAAAATACCACTTTTCGCAAAGGGAGGGAAAATTCCACTGCAAAACCAGTCTCAGTTCTGGAACAACCACAGGAAAAAGAAAAGACTTTTGAGGAAAACCAGAAAAGCATGTGTTTCCTACTACCACTCCTACCCTTATTATACATTATCAAACAAAGAACGTAAGGAAAGGATACAGATAGAATTCCCTGGAATGCTCCTCTCAGAGCCTCTTAAGACTACCCCATCTCTGAGGGATGGATTCATGAGTCCCTCTCCAAGACAAGTCTTGGGAGGAAAAAAAACCCCAAAACAAAACAAAACTAGATTTCTCAGGACTCCTGTGCTTGTGGATCCTTAAGACTTTGGTTGTGTTTCAAGCAAATGATGAAAGGCCACTGAAAGTGTTTAGGTGAAGGTGGTCTCTTTTTAGGTTTACATGCAGACACCATTTGGCTATAAACTTAGTTTCTGCTATACAGACATGCAATTTCATCTTAAGTGCTTCCAACAAAATAGCTTTTGTTCACCTGCATAATTTCTAAACAGGATTTATTCAGCCAGCTATCAATGCCAAGTTTATTCTGCTGAAAGAAACACACCTACATGCAGACAGCCAAACGAACTTGATTTTACAGATTTCTAGGGAATGTGATCTTTTACAAAGGAACAGAACTACGCTTAAAAATGCAGTCCTTACGTTTTTAAAAGAAAGGTCATGAACGGAGTGTACATACTCTGCACAGACAGTAAGAGT